GGAAATAAGAGATATCGACACACGCAGCGTAACTATAAACAGGATCGTTGAACACCACATACCCGAGCACATTAAACTAAAAAATGATGAAAGGCATCTTTTTAACTCAACAAAATGCAGAGTTTGAAGCTCAAATCCGAAAAGGGTTCATATGTGACTCAGTAAATCAAAATTGTAGCCACAATCAAAAGATATAAAAATTCTTCAATCACATCCAAGGGGCTTGACATTTTGAGCACAGTGAAATAGTCAACATGTTCTCTTTTCAGACTGAGAACGTTAAGGCACGTTAACATTCTTAAAAGACTGAATACTAGAAAAGGAATCGAAGTTTCTCGCGAATTGTTAACACTCAAAGCTTCCCCTAAACACTAAGTCAAATGTACTTCTTATAGTCGTTCGATGGGCGTCAACTAACCCATTTCCTAGAATGAACATTGTTAATATTTCCAATCCGAAAAACTCATACTAACTCGTCTGCGTCAAGAAGACCGACGGAAAGATTGTTGTGCTTTTATCCAAGTGAAAGCAAGTTTCGAGCGGTAATAATTATCGTCAAGATAAAAATTTTAAAAACAGTGCTTGTCTGGCTCGCGGCAGTCCCTTGTTAGGCTCTGAAAACAGGCGCATTGGTGAATTATATGTTGCCTAAAATGTGTAAAGGCTCATGTCATGTCGATGTCTGGCTCTATGAATGGTAATCTGGCCGGAACAAGGCCGTCTTCAGGCTTTGTCAGGCTCCAAAATTTCGTATGGGATATGTCGTTAAAAGGAGCCGATCTCGTGTACTAAAGGCATCTGTTGAACGAGTATCGACCGACACTAACAGTCAACATAACAACTGAATATCAGCCGATGTGTAGAGCAACACTCGGTCCACATGTTGACTGACATCAATGAATGAGTTGCCAGTAATCGGATCCTTGTGTTTGCGCACAGATTTCTGGGATCGCCACGGGGCAAACATTGCAACTCATTGCCTCTTGACCGACATGCATGACAGATGATACTCAGTTGACAAGTGGTCTTTAAACTTGGTCCCCAAATATTTTTCTCACTTTGCCTAAATTTGTTGTAGAGATGATACCGAGACATGTATCGTGATGGGTTGGAAGAATTTTTTCTGTTACAAAATTTCAGTGGGTTGCTGAAGGTTTTATTGCAAATATCACCAAGGGTAAAGGCGTCTAGTTAAAATTAAATGCAAATTAAACTTCAACCTAACTACAAAAGGAACGGGAATGTATATTAGCCTTAGCCTAAATATTGAACGATTATACGCCACCATCTGCGTCGGTATAATTACGATAATGAATTAATATATACAAAATAATATATTTCAAATATATTAACTGTAAGAAATTAATTCCTTTCAAGTTGTAAATATACTTACTGTAAAATTTTACGCCGTTAATTAACGGCATAAATTCTCTCAGTATGTATAAAGTACATTCAGATTTAGGTTTAGTGGCTTAAAATCTCAGTTTATAGACTACGGCAATCACATATTACGCCGTTATCTAATTACCGAAAAGGAACGTGATTTGTTTCAAGATATCACGTTGGAAATTCCCACATCGAATTAGAAAACGATGTGCTTACAATGACTGATAAGACTTAAATTAGTTCAAGAAATGAGACTTCATAAATTAACATAACATAAATTAAAGATTAAGAGTACTATGTAAAGCAGGGCTCACCTTGATATTCGAGCCAAGATTACATTTACATCTTTTTCGATGCACTGGTTTATCTTGAAAATTCCAAGCCAGTCTTATTACCATTAAAAGTCCGAACAAGCATGGCAACTAGAGCTTTTCCGTGTGTGTGTTCTGGAATGTGCTTATCAAATCATGTCCTTCCAATACTCACCGTGATATTTTCGAGGAATCTGGGAAGAGGCAATGTCTGCGTGACTTGGGTTTTCGCAAGTCACGCGACCATTTGTCCGGGTAAAAAATGACTGCCTGAAAGTTACCGCTTCTTGAAAGTGCACTTGATTACAGACTAAGTTTTTCATACGTGATGATAAATCCGAGGGAAAATGCAAATGTAAAGTTTTACCGATCCTTACTTAAATAACTTCTATGAAACTATAATAGTGAGTGGAGTGAAAAAAACTAAATATAGCCATTGCAAAGCTAAGAGTTCAAAAGCAAAAGTATAGAAAACCTAACCTTAAATATTATTTATTATAAATTCATAATACGACTTTCGTATGGTCAGTCACCTTCGATTTTCAAATTAATAAAAACCTCATTTCCTCTTGACAACATTCCTAAAACATTTTTGACACATTTCGATGGAGCGTCGCACATTTCCATCCGTTTTCATGCATGGTTTTGGTTGACAAATTGTTTGGCCGATTGTCAAGTTTTAGTTTTCAATTAAAGTGCAGCTCTATCATTTTCAAATTTGATCTTCCACCGAGTGTTAGGAAAGAAACTATTTCACTAGGTTTGTCATTCTGTTAACATCTCAGTCCATCGATAGCATGCAGTTAAAATGAGAGGGTTGCCTACCTCCGTAAGAAAATAATAAACAATGTTTTCCTAGTATACGAGCTTTTATTGGTAAATGTGGCAATAAGAGCATCTGGTGAAGGATCGTTCTCTACTAGCCGATTAAATACCTTATTTCCGCGCTCATTTCAAATTTCGGCTAAAAGGAGAGGCGCTTATTGGAAGGAGGACGATTAATCGAGGGGGCCAGTCATTAAACTATCAACCTGTAATGATTTCGCTGTGGTTGAGAGCTAAAAAGTTGTAAATAAAGTGGTAATAGACACAGGTTTTCCTTGCATGACTATTAATTAAGAAAGTGAGGAAAGAGAAAATTGAGAAGCTTGATTTACATGATAGGAGTGTAGGCGCTTATTCGAAGAAACACGGTACTCAGTTGCTTTCCTTCAACTATAACGCAACATCGCAACCTGGAAGGAATAGATATAAACAGTCATTAAGAAAAAACTGATGGACCCTCTCGTCTTGACATTGCTAGGAAATTTTCCGTAAGAGTTGAAATTTCGGAATCTTTCAAGAACGCGGCATACAGTAAATATCAGCCAGTTCCTCAGTTTTATTTTTTTGACAGGCTGTACGGGATGTTTTGTCAATTTGTAATCGGTCCGATACACAGTTCATGTGCCGTTGACCAGATCACAGCATTCTCTTCATTTAAGTACAAGTACACAATTTACTTCCTTCACTGTATGTTTTTTCGCCTTCTCGTTTCATGGAATACATGTCAATCATGATTCTTAAAACGGTTTTTCATTACATCACAATTCAAAAATAAAAA